ACCGTAGTGTACGCTCTAAAAATATGTGACCCAATGTGCTTTATTAAGAGTCAAATTCTCCTTTAAATTAAAAAAAAAGTCATTTTGATTATTTCCTAACAAACTTTTTAGGTGTACCTTACCTTTCTAAAACATAGGCCAAATCTACTACATCTACTCTCCAAATTAGGCCATTGGAATGCCGACGATTTATGTGACCAAGCCATTCGTATATGCCACTAGAGCTACTTCAACCTTTTCACGTATATACTTATTTAGCATTTGGTCTCTAACATTCTATCTCTAGGTGTAAAGCCACTCATCCAATTGAGCATCCTCATCTCACTAACAATTAACTTAATTTTATGCTTCTCCTTGGATGGCCAACATTCTGCACCATAAAGCATTGCAGGTCCCATCATCATCTTATAAAATTTTCCTTTAAGTTTGAGGTGCAGTTTTCTATTACACAATAGGTCCAATGCTTTCCTCCACTTCAACCATCAAACTTGAATTCCATTAATAATATTCCCATCTATTTCACCATAGCTTTGAACAATATACTTGAGATATCCAAAACGTGCACTCTTTTAATTGACTTGATCACCCAATATCACAATCCTGCCAATAGATCTTTTACTACTAAAATTATACTCCATGTATTAGATTTTAGATTTCCTCAAATGAAAGTCTATAGACTCTAAGGTTGACCTCCATAATTCAAGTTTTTCATCAACTCCCTCTTTAGTCTTATCAACAAGAAGAATATCATTAAAAAAAACATACATTAAGGGACATCCTATTACAAATGACTAATAAAAACACCCATGATAAACGCAAAAAGATATGAGCTTAAAGCTGATCCTTAATTTAATCCAATTGAAATAGAAAAATAAGTGGTCAAACCACATTGTGTTTGAACACTAATAACACCTAATGCATACATAATCTTAATGACTTGAATAAAAGCATTACTAACTCTTATTTTTCTTTAACTCTTCTGGGCACTTCTCTTATAACTTTATTGCATGCTTTCTCAAAATCAATAAATATCATATATAGATTCTCCTTATTCTCTCTAAATTTCTCCATCAAACCTCTCAGCAAATATATAGCATCTACAATAAACCTACCTAGAATGAATCCAAAGAAGATTTAACAAGTACTGTTTCAAAAAAAAATCACTAGTGTTTATGACAAAAGCTACAACATTCGAGAGCAATCTAAAGGCAAAGAAAATAAATCTTCATTTAGGCATCACATTGTTGCTATTGACAATGAAGATGATTAGGGATATTATGAAAATTCTGAAATAAGAGACAGTGCTGATGAAGGGAATGAAGTTATTTTTTTTAACTTTTGTAGACGATAATGATTCCACAAGAAGTAACAACAACAAGCCTTTATCTCACTGTGGGCTCGACTACATGAATCATTTTCTCCATTGTGCTGCATTAAGAGAATTCTCATTTAAACCCAAAAAAAAGGGTCATTTAAATAATTTATAACCAAGTCTTTTTAGGTCTACCTATTCCTTTTTTAATATAGGTTGAAACTAATACATCTACTTAATAAGATTATCAGAAGGCCGACATTTTATAATTAAAATAAAAACTAGATTAAATTCTTACAAAATCACTAAGCTTAAGAAAATTATTGTAATATTTTGAATTATAAGAGATTGAGGTATTGATTACTAGAACTTATGCATCACTTTGATTATTTTTTTATTATCATGATAGCTTATCTGCAATAATATTACTTTATATTAATCCATATTTTCGTAAAAATATTATGCATCATGTCTAAAATGGCGCGCATTGTATGTCATGACTCTAAGAGGAACTTTGCGTCATGATATGTCATTTGTGGGCTCCAAAAATTTGCGCCTCGGCCTCCCCTCACCTTCGGGGGAGTTCTAATGAATGGGGTTCCAGGATAAATTTTCAGAAGGCTAGGTTTATAGATAAGTCACTACTTAAAGATTTCGCCCTCATTTTGCAAGGACTTTATGATTTAAGTCATGGTTTCCCATAGACGCTGGTTAACATGCTTAAATGAATTATAAAGCAAGTTGCAATGCATGTATGAGGGGTTTAAAATATTTGCATGCATGGCAACGAGGTGCTTTTATGATTATCAATTATTAATTATGCAAACAATCACTATTAATAAACACGTTGAATTCAATTTGAGAATCTCTAAACACCTTCTATCCACTTGTATGAATGTTGCGGATCCGGTAATGTGGCATTACACTTCAACGGCCCATGATTTTACTTCTGCTTCCATGCTTTTGCTTACAGGTAAATTATATCATTGCATCCATAATAGTCACGAGATACTTCATTGTTCTGATGTAGGCTCCCTTTTCGCATTCTTCAGGAGATCAGATCTACAAGTCATCTTGATGTAGGCATTGGGGGGGGGGGGATCAAATCAAGTTGGATTTTATTTTTGGTAAGCTTTAATATCCTCTACTAGATGTCAGCTCATTAATATCTAGTAGAGCGTCTTAAGCTCATAAATTGAAGAATTATTAGATTCATTCCCCCTTTTCCTTTGTCTCTTTGGTTTCTTCTTGTGTCTCTTTGGTTTCCCCAAGCTTGTCTCTTCCTATTCTTGTGTCTCTTTGGCTTTTTCCATATAATTCAATGCCTTGGGCTACTTGTCTTTTTGGTTTCTGTTGTATGTTGATGTTCCCCTGGTTCTCCCTCTCGATTTTCCCTTGCTGATTGGTTTCCCGTGCCTACTGTCTTGTCTCCTGTGCTAGCTCTTCGGGTCCCTTGCTGGCTGTTTTCCCGTGGCCTGCTGGTGGGTTTTCCGTGGACTGTTTCCCTGTTTTTTCTATTCAGAATTCCTGCTTATGTTTTGCTGTCTTTTGGCCTTCCATTTGGTGACTTTATAGAAGTGTTTCACTTAGGCTTAAAATATAGAGTTTATATAGTGACTCGAGGATAAGTATCATGCCATGTGTAACAAATCACAGCATCCACGCCTTTAATTTTCGAAAGTACTTTAACTATGCTTCAATGATACTTTTCACGTACTAGGGTGGCTCTACTCCATCTTTAATCTCTCTTTCATAACAAATTAGGTATAGATTCATATATTTATGCAATCTTGCATCAAGTAAATTGATGATTCTAAACTCCAATCATTTAAGTAAATACTTGGTTTTCATCATTATTGGCCACCTCACTTCATGTTATCATCCAAATCGCAAACCACAAATATGACATTTTCATACCGACCCTTAGCCTCGTGTATTCTCAAGCTTAAACTATATAACCATTTCTATGAGCTGAATTAATTAACTTTGTCACCAATGAGGACAATATCATTTATAAGTCATGAAAAAGGTAACCCCTCTAAGAAAATCAACAAAAATTATAAAAAGATGAAAATTCAACATCTATGCTAATATTAAAAAGATGGCTAAGATGCTCAAATACTTCGTTATGAAAGCATGATAGAAGTACGCAATATTAAGATAATAATAAAACTTCAAATAAAATAAGGCAAAGATAAGACAAGAAGCAGAAGACACAAATTTACAAAATTTGATGTCATCCAATGAAACCTTGGGCACATAACATTCTACTAATTCCACTAAGATTCAAATGATAAATATGTACTTAACAAAGTGGACAACATCTACATGTAGTTGATGTTAAAAAAAGAGAGAACCATGACCTCCAACTATAGGATATAGAGATTGGATAGAGGAATGAAGAAGATAATAAAGAAGAAAGACACATCAGAATTCTACATCTGTGATACTAAATGGAAACCACCTGAACCCCATTCTCTAAGAATATTAGATATTCTATCATGGAAAATGTCTTATACAATACAGTTCAGGAAGCTCCAATCACGAAAGGGACAGGGTAAGGTTAAGATTAGTAAACTTAATTTTATTTAGCATAGAAAACATATGCATACTCCTTACATAGGAGATGAATTCACGATACATTTGTCCATCATGACCTTCTCCGAGAATTTTAATAGGTCATTTCATAACTTGCTTCACAGGATGATGGTAATATAGCCTAGAAAATAGCTTGTCAACATTTCATTTTGGCATTTTTTTAAGGGCTTTAAATATATACCACTAAATTCTTATGCATTTGCATAGCTAACATGCAAATATTTATATTTACTAAGATAACACATTTATGTCTATATCACATCAAAACATATGCATGAAATATATATTTCAATTTAGATAAGTTAAAATTAGTAATATTTTTAATGTAATTTTAAGATTAGATTTACCAAGTAAAAATACAAATATTTACATTTTAGAGGTGTAACCCCATAAAAATCTGTGTTATGTAGGAAAATCACCCTTTCATTATGTAGAAAGCGAGGCTGATAGAGAACCAACAGGAGGGTGGGCCCATTTCAGAAACTGATTAAGATAATAGCATGAAGCATCTTATCTAACTCTATGGTTTGTTCATTTCATCTTTATCTACCAGCTCCAAGGTTATAAACACAGCCTAAGGACATTAATGAAATAAATAAGCATCAGTAAAAAATGGGGGGCTTGACTACGTTAGAACGAACATCCAATTTTCTTAAATGTTAAGGAATTGCGATCAATTTTAAAAATCACGCAGCACAGTCCCACCAGAAGTGGAAACAAAGAACAAATGGCTAGATCACTATACAAAATTTTCAAATAAATCACTGTCATTTGACAGAGCTGTGTCAAGATCTATTCACAATTTCACCACACGAGCTTAATAGAATCATCATGATCTTATATAAAGAACTTAGATATGTTATACTGACTATAAATAGGATAGTGAAGCAGACAAAGCCAAAAGCACATATTAAAACTTATTGATAATGCAATAGCATATTCAAGCCAATGACCTTGATACAAGACACCAACATACACAAGCATGTGGATACAATAAAATTCAGCAACAGTATAAAACCATGCCGGTAATTATTCCAAAATAACTTTACCAAGGAAGAAAAAATGATCTGAAAGCAGTTTTCTTTCATACCCTGGACATACACATCATTAACTTCTTTCTCCATATTCTCTAGAGCACAAACCGCAGACTTGCATTTGTTCAATGCCGTGTCTTCATCAAAATGCTCATCTAGAACAGCTTGATATGCAGTTACAATTCTTTCAGGCATGCCTCCAACAGCTAGTTTCTAAAATTTGAGTAACATCTATAAGACAGATATACAGAAAACTAGGCCTTTTGACAAGAAGAAACCAAAAAATTTAATTCAGAAGTTCGAGTTAGAAAGTAGTCACTCACAATTCTCACAGAATGAGCATCTTTCCTTACTAATTTAATGGGATTCGGATTCTTTCCATTGCTTTCTGACAAAAGAGGTGGAGCAGGTGGTTTATTACCAAGGATATCATCTTTCAGTCCTCGAGCGCGAGATCCAAAAACTTTCCGCTCATCCCAAATGTCCACCTGAAGATTAAAAACAATGGAAAATGATAAAAAATTGAAGCATATAGCATTGTTACTCCACTAAATAATATCCAAAAGTAATATTTGCCTAAAGTTGAGGATAACTAGAACCAAAGCATGGCATTTCATCTATAGGATAACCAATAATAATAAATAAAAAGTACGTTAGGAATAAGTGTAATGGACTAATCAATGGAGGATATAGGTAGTTAGATCGTAGCCTGCCTCCACTACAATCCGCTTGACTACACCTAGCATCAACTGTCCTTTGACAATTCACACTTATAGAAGAACTGCAAACAGGTTATCATGCAAAATTAAGACTAATGCTTTTAATGATTAGCGAGAAAATGAGATTTATGAAATTGTTATAAGAAAACATTTAGAGAATTGTCAAATAAAAATTTATAGAAGAATATTGGATAATTGAATTTCTTTGAAGATGAAAGCTGGTGAGACTAGCAAGATTAAAAACCCATCGGAGAACACTAAAGAAAGTGAACACAACTCAATTCAAATCTTAGTAAGCAAAATCATCATATAACATTAAACTAACTGAAATTGTTTTATAAGAAGATAGAAAACCAAAACAAACTATCCTCAGAACAACAAATTAGTGGTCACCTCACATGTATGAATAAAATAGGTAAATTGAATGCTCAAGGACATGCAAACAATGGTCCACCACAACTACTTTGAACCAATCCAAAGTCTGTCACAACTCCTCCAGCAAATCCCAACAAAGCTTGCCAACCAACACCACTATCAAGTTTTTAGAAGAAGGATACAATGGGGTGGAAACTTGTGGAGAGAAGAAAGGGATTAAGAAACTTGGAAGAAGCAACAAGAAGTGAAGAAGTAGCTCTCAAGCTAGAGAAGAAACCCTCAGGTTTTACTTAGCTTTTACATTGCCAAAAATTCTTAAAACATCCCAAAACTCCCATATAAATAGGATAGAAAACGGAGGCCAACAACCATGTTCAGCCACACACCACAGCCAACCAAAAGGAGGAAAAAAAGAAGCAATAAAGGCACAGTTGGACCCTCACCCGAACAGCCACATCAAGGGAACCCGGGAAAGCAGGGAGCAAGAACCGAACAGCTAAATGGCTAAGTAGCAGCTCAGCTGCCCACTAACAAACCCAAGCATCCTAGGCACAAAGACCCAAAGAAGCTAGCACACCAAAGGAAAAAAACATGTCCAAGAGCACCAAAACCACACATGTTCATCGGTTTCCTTCCATCATCGGGTAAAAATAAAATAAAACTTAAAAATTACAATAGCATAAAAAAAAAAAAAACATAAACATTTGAATGCATCAATTCCCCCCAGGTGGGAGAATCTCATCTCCTGATGAGAATGCTTCACTAATGTGTTGATAGATGTCAAGACGATGAGATTGAAGTTCCACAGCTTCAATCCAAGTACAATCAGTCAACGGATTCCACACAACTTTACCAAGATCCGCTTATGCACTCCATGCCTGGTCTGAGTAGTCTTGATGTCCAGAACATCTTCAATGTGATCATCTTTGGCTTGAACTGGACTAGTAACTGGTAAGGTTTATAAAACCACAAAATCAACAGGATTTCCATCATATAAAGTAAGGACAGCAACATTAAACACAAGTGAAGTCCCAACAGAAAGTGGAAGATCCAGAAGATTAAGCATTTGATGCCAATTTTCGAAGAATTTTAGAAGGCCCAAATTTTCTCCGGCTTAACTTGCCCAAAGTCCCAACAAGAAAGCGTTATCGATGAAAATAAGCCATAACTATATAGATCACCTTCTTGAAAATAACACTCTCTCAGGTGTTTGTCAGCATCAGTTTTGTATTTAGCATTTGTCATTCGAAGTTTTTCAAGGACTTGATGTTGGATCGATTTAATTTGATCAATAATTTCTGTAGCTTCAGCACTGATTTTATTGGGCATGGGTAAACAAGTTCGGTCTAAAATATGATGAATGGGCTGACCATAAATGACTTCAAAAGGAGTTTTTCAAGTAGATCGGTTAATAGAATTATTGTAAGCAAATTCGGCATTGGGTAAAATCAAATCACATTGAGAAGGTTTCTCACCAGCAAGACATCTAAGCTAGTTTCCTAAACTTCTATTAACAACTTCAGTTTGCTCATCAGTTTGAGGGTGATATGCACTACTGAATTGAAGAGTAGTTCCTAACTTTGACCAAAGTGTTTTCAAAAAATGGCTTAAAAATCTAGTATCTCGATCATAAGTGAAAGTTCTAGGAAAGTTATGGAGTCTCACAATTTCTTTAAAAAACATATCAGCAACATGTGAAGCATCAGAAGTTTTCTTACAAGGAATGAAATCTGCCATTTTGTTAAATAGATCGACCACAACAAACACATAGTCAGATTTTCGAGCCATTACAGGTAGTCCTAAAATGAAATCCATGGAAATATCATCCCAAGGTTTATTTGGAATTGGAATATGAGTATATAAGCTAATGTTTTGAGTTGTTCCCTTAAAAGATTAACAAATTTTTCATTGTTTTGTAACAGGGACCTCTCCTCCTTTAAACCAGGCTATCTTGTAGGGCTTAGCAAGTGGCTTGGGTTTTAACTTAAGCTTGTCTAACATCAGTTGAGATACAATGTTTTCTGAGCTACTGCTATCAGTCATAAGGGTACAGAGTTTACCATCAACGGCGCAAGTGGTTCGGAAGATGTTTCGCCCAAGTCATTTGTCCCCAATGTCAAATTTAGTAGTTAAGACACTTTGAATAACCAAAAATTGGTTCCCTTGATCTCCTTCAACATCAATTCGCTCTAACTCAATCTCATTTTCTGGTTCAGATCCAACTTCCTCCTCATTTTCTATGTCATCATCTTTCTCTATATAATTGGTCCTACGAGGGTTATTCTTCCTACAAGCTGCCGAAAGGTGCCCATATAAACCACACTTGTAACAAGGTCCTATTGTCTTTGGTCCTATCACGCCCTTTCCCTTATCAATGGTTTGAGTTTCATTAGGTTTTGTTCACAAATTAGGAATTGAAGATGCACCAAAAGAGGTTTGTGAAGACTTTATTTTGATCCCACTAGGTTGACTAGTTGTTTCAAATGTCTTATTAAAGCCTCTTTGATGTTGTTTTTCAATTTTAAGCGTCATTCAATAAGCTTCAACGAGTTTAATAACATGATGTAAGTTTAATTGATCTTGAATAGCCCGTTTTAGTCCATTAATGTATCAAGTTATGCTTCGTTCTTCAGATTCATCCAAATCATTTCTTGATTGAAGTTTGTAGAAATTTTCAGTGTATTCTTCTATGGATTGAGTTCCTTAGCGAAGATTACTAAATTCTTGAAACAGAGTTCAGGAATGGTCTGAATCTTTTCTTTTCCTCTTCTTACCCTATTGTTTTGAAGATTTTTCCACAACGTTAAGGCATGACCTGTCAGTTTTAAGCTAGAAAACCTAACTTTTCTATTTTCTGGAATTTCTTTCCATTAAAAAAATTCATCTATTTTTTCTATCCATTCAAGAAATTGTTTCGGATGCACCTTACCTTCAAATTCTTTTACATCAATTTTAATTCCATAATCTCATTGTTTGTTTTTCCTATTTTGGATTCTAGGAATTTTATCTTCACTTTCAGAATTTGGAGCATTATTCACATTTAAGTTAGCCAAAGTGTTAGCCATTTCGTTCAATTATTGTTGAAAGTTAGCCAACTGTTGCATCGTTTGTTGTCAATCCCCTTGATTGTTTGGATTATTCATTTTATTTTAAGAGGGAAGACTCACACACACAAAACCAAGGCTCTGATACCAAAATGGTGGGACTAGCAAGATTAAAAGCCCAAAGGAGAACACTAAAGAAAGTGAACACAACTCAACTCAAACCTTAGTAAGCAAAATCACCATATAACATTAAACAAACTGAAATTGTTTTATAAGAAGATAGAAAATCAAAACAAACTACCCTCAGAACAACCAACTAGTGGTCACCTCATATATATTGATAAAATAGGTAAATTGAATGCTCAAGGACATGCAAACCAGTGGTCCACCACAGCTACATTGATCCAATCCAATGTCTGCCACAACACCTCCGACAAATCCCAACAAAGCTTGCCAACCAACACCACTCTCAAGTTTTTAGAACGAGGATACAATTGGGTGAAAACTTGTGGAGAGAAGGGATTAGGAGACTTGGAAGAAGCAACAAGAAGTGAAGAAGTAGCTCTCAAGCTAGAGAAGAAACCCTAAGGTTTTACATTGCCAAAACTTCTTAAAACAGCCCAAAACTCCCCTATAAATAGGATAGAAAAGGTAGACCAATAGCCATGTTCAGTCGCCCACCACAGCCAACCAAAAGGAGGAAAAAAAGAAGCAATAAAGACACGGTTGGACCCTCACCCGAACAACCACATCAAGGGAACCAAGGAAAGCAGGGAGCAAGAACCGAACAGCCAAATGGCTAAGTAGAAGCTCAGCTTCCCACTAACAAACCCAAACAGCCCAAGCACAAAGACCCAAAGAAGCTAGCACACTAAAGGAAAAAAAACATGTCCAAGAGCACAAAAATCACACATGTTCATCGATCGCCTTCCATGATGCAGGACAAAGTAAATTGATCATGCATGTAGAGATTTATGTTAGGGAATAAATAAAAACAGCAAATTTAAACTCCAAGGAAACTTATCAAGACAAGAAATTTAGGCAACGCAACTACACCGAAACAAGAAACTTGACTAGTAGCAACATTCACAATTTAAAGGGAGTAAAGTAATTAAAACTCTGAGAACATGGATAGCTAGAGCCCCACTTTTAATTTAGGATTAGTTGCAAATGAAGTCCGAAGCTCTTAATTAAGAAAGTAGACTAAGCAGATTAGTTGTTAGGCTTGTTTGAAGCTTCTTCGGAGGGGAGAATAAGATATGTAGGCTAAACAGTAAATAAGAGAAGATGTAAAACACTTATCTTGTTTGGACGTTGAACAAAGTGTTGACGAAGAGGACAATAACTCCC